AGAGTGTGCCCCTTATTGTGCGTGGGCTCCGTCACATGCTGAGTCAGTCCATAGCTATCAAGAACACAAAACAGTTCTTTTGCCCCTCTGTCCTGGGGGTTGTCAACATGAATGTTAAAATCACCAATCATGACTAGACGGTCAAAGTCAATACACACTATAGACAGCAGTTCAGTAAAGTCATCAAAAAAGCTTGCACAGTATTTGGGTGGTCTATAGATATTTAGGAACAGAGCTCGAGAGGAGCATTTCAGCTGAAGGGCCACATATTCAAAATAATCAAAGTTTCCATACGATGTCTTCCTGCATTGAAGGGAATCATTGAACAGAATAGCAACTCCACCCCCTTTCTTATGCATTCTTTCCTGACTCATAAAACTGAAGTTGGGAGGGGTTGATTCGATTAGAACAGCTGCACTGTTATTTTGTTCAATCCAAGTTTCTGTTAAAAACATAAAATCGAGTTTGTGCTCAGTGATAAAATCATTGATTACAAATGTTTTTCCTGCCAAAGACCTGACATTTAATAAAGCTAGTTTAAGTTTGTTTGTTTGTTGTTGTTGTTTGTCATGTTTTGTGTAACAAGCTGTGGCTGACATGGAATCACTGCTAAATTAGATAAACTCACACAAACGTTTGAGCGCTTCCTGTTTCTAAGATGATTCACCGCTCTTAATCTATTACTGGCAGGGGCAGGGAACTGCTGCGCGCAGTTCCCTCCCCCCTCCCCCTCCGAGGGAACTCCGCCACGTCAATCAAATGCGCGCAGCGGAATCAATCACAGAGTGATCCAAAAGTGACACAGAGTGGAAGGAAAATATATCGCAAAGTCATGTCTACATCAAAACTTTCAGGGAAAAAAAAAGTCGATGATGACCACAGAAGATTTCAGGAGAAGTGGGAGACTGAATATTTTTTTGTCGAGTATAGTAGGCTACAGGGGAAACGCAACGTGCCTTATATGCACAGAGAAAATCGCTGTATACAAGGAGTATAACGTCAAACGTCACTACTCAACTAAATATATACAGCTAATATGCAGAGTATGCAAAATACCTGGGAGAAGAGAGAGAGAAAAGAGTCACAGCTAAACAAAATTCTATGGAAGCAACAAAATCTCTTCAAGAAAGGAAGCAATGAGGCTGATTTAGCAGTGGAAGCTAGCTATGTGTTGAGTGAGATGATTGCTAAGGCGGGAAAGCCGTTTACGGAAGGCGAGTTTATAAAAAAGTGCATGTTGCAGGCTGCAAGTATAGTCTGTCCGGAAAAGAAGGGTCAGTTTAACAACATCAGCCTGTCAGCTAACACAGTGGCAGAGCGCATTTCTGACTTATCAAGTGACATATATGATGCGACAAACTTTTCCGTGCATACTCTGTGGCTCTTGATGAGAGCACGGACATCACTGACACCGCTCAGCTCGCAATGTATGTCCGTGGTGTTGATGACAAGTTTGAAGTGACAGAGGATTTGCTTACAGTGAAACCAATGCATGGCCAGACCACCGCTCAGGAGATATTCCAGCAACTGTGTGATGCCATTGCGGATATTGGTCTGCCATGGAAGAGGTTTGTTGGAATTACGACCGACGGAGCGCCATCAATGACAGGGAGGAAAAATGGGCTGGTGGCACTTATTCAAAGAAAACTGGAGGAGGAGGGTGTGGAGGAGGCTATTGCTCTGCACTGCATTATCCATCAGCAGGCCCTTTGCCGCAAATGCTTGAAGTTTGACAATGTGATGTCTGTTGTTGTGAAATGCATCAACCATATCAGATCCAGGGGCTTAAAGCACCGCCAGTTCTGTGCTTTTTTGGAGGAAATTGAGTCAGAATAGGATGTGCTCTACTTCACAGAGGTGTGTTGACTCAGCAGGGGACACGTCCTGAAGAGGTTTTTTGAGTTGAGAACAGAACTGAAAGTATTCATGCTGGAGAAGGGTGGGATGGCTGTTCCCGAGCTGAGTGATCCCAAATGGCTCATGGACTTAGCTTTTCTTGTTGACATCACACAGGAGCTGAATGCACTGAATAAGAAGTTGCAGGGCCAGGGCCAGCTTGTCAGTGCAGCATATGACAATGTCAAAGCATTCGCTACAAAACTGGTGTTATGGAAAGCCCAGCTCCCTCAGAAAAACCTCTGCCATTTCCCAGCATGCAAGGCTCTCATGGACAAGGGCACAGCATTCAGTGGTGAGAAGTATGTTGAGGCCATTGTGAAGCTACAGGAGGAATTTGATCAGCGGTTTGCAGACTTCAAGACACACAGAGCCACTTTCCAAATGTTTGCAGACCCCTTCTCCTTTGATGTGGAAAATGCCCCTGGTGTGCTTCAAATTGAGCTCATTGACCTGCAGTGCAATTCTGAGCTCAAAGCCAAGTTCAGGGAAGTGAATGGGAAAGCAGACAAGCTTGGACAGTTCATGAGAGAATTGCCCCCTCCTTCCCTGAGCTTTCCAGGATGTTCAAGCGGACCATGTGCCTTTTTGGGAGCACATATGTGTGAACAGCTCTTCTCCACCATGAACTTCAATAAGTCAAAGTACAGGTCCAGACTTACTGATGAACATCTTCAAGCCATACTAAGGGTTTCAACTGCTTCCTCCCTCAAACCAAATGTGGCTCAGCTGTGTGAGAGGAAGCGCTGCCAGGTCTCTGCAGCAAGGAGTAGGCAAGAGCAACTGTAAATAGTTATGTTGTGAAGAACCGTTCATGTTAAGAAGATGTTGAAGAACTGTTAATGTTGTATTTTTTAATACATTTTTTGTGGAATACTTGAAGCGGCCCAGACTTGCCCAGACTCTACGTCCAGCGGCCCCCAGGTAAATGGAGTCTGAGACCCCTGCTTTAGACCCACTAAAAGACAAAGAACATGGGAAAAGAGGAAACACTAATACACTGTATAGTAAGTATGTAGCCATCAGTATTTAAGTCATCAGACATAGCCCATACAACTCCTGATGTGTGTGAATGTCTTCTGGTGTTACTTTGACACTTCAAAGACTTCAATAATCCCTTTTAAAAAACTAATTTGACCTGTCTGCAATTATTGAGAGTGGCAGAAAAGAGCTGCAGTTCGGCTGGTGAGAATAAACCCCGGGGCAGACCATGTTGGAGGATGATGCCTTTGAACCTTTAGAGGTGTTCTTATTTTTCTCAGTATTGGCATATCCAGCCATGCAGTGGGGTGGTTTGTGAACTACCTCTCTGAAAGGTCCCAATGTGTTCACTTTTATGGGCTCACTTCTGAGTGGTTAAACATTGCTAATGGTGTTCCTCAAGGTTCTGTTTTAGGTCCACTTTTCTTCTCCATATATATCAACAGTTTAGGTGAAAATGTGGATGAAGCTACTTTACATTTCTATGCGGATGATACCGTGCTGTACTGTGCAGGTCCCTCCATTAAGGAGGCTGGTGTTAAATTACAGGCTGTTTTTAACATTATTCAGACTCAGCTCTCTGAGCTTAAGCTTCTTTTAAATGTTGATAAAACCAAGGTATTGCTCTTTTCTAAAGCTAAAAAGACACCAGAGCCAGTTTTAGATATTGTAACTGCGCAAGGACAAGTACTAGAAGTGGTTACCTGTTACAAATACCTGGGTATCTGGTTTGATGATTGTCTTACTTTTAAACTTCATGTCAATAACCTGCTTAAAAAGCTGAGGGTTAGACTAGGTTTCTTCTTCAGAAACAAGTCCTGGTTCTCGCTTGAGGCCAGGAAAAGGCTGTCACTGTGACCTTTTTACCTGTGCTGGACTATGGTGATTTGGTCTATATGAATGCACCTGCCTATTGCCTGAACAAGTTAGATGCTGCCTATCACAGCGCACTGAGATTTGTCACAAATTGTAAAGCACTTACTCATCACTGTACCCTGTATGCCAAGGCAGGTTTGCCATCACTTACTGTAAAGAGGCTCAGTCATTGGTACACGTTTATTTATGCTTTGTTGGGTAAACTCCCGTATTATATCTGCTCTCTGATAACACAGAGAGTTGCAAGCAGCTATTGTCTGAGATCGCATGATGTAGTATTGTTAGATGTGCCAAGAGCAAGGACTGTCTTAGGTAAGACAGCTTTTATGTGCGCAGCTCCACTTGCTTGGAACAATCTTCAGCAAGAATTGAAACTGAGCAATCTCATTCCTCTGCATGTTTTTAAAGCTAGGCTAAATGAAATGCTCGTTGATTCTATGGGCACATGTAAATGTCTATAACTATGTAAATGTATCCTGTAAATATAATGTATGATGTCCTTTATTGTTTTATGTTTCATGTGGAACCTATATGCTGCAGGTCTCCCTTGAAAAAGAGATCTATGATCTCAATGGGACCAATCTCGTTAAACAAAGGTTTGCAATGATTTAAAAGTAAACGTTCATCATTTCAAACCTTTATTTAACCAGGTGGTCCCATTGAGATCATCGATCTCTTTTTCAAGGGAGACTTCAGTTTAAAGTAGCCGGTATAATGCATACCGTATATAATCACAAGTCTGGACTCCTCTGATCATGCAGATAAGATGATGTGGAGTATCCGTGCCGTGAAATATTGTTGAGCATGACTTGGAGAGTGGACAGACATTTCAGATGGTGATGATATGAAATATGAAAGAGTATGAAATTCGTTTGCTACGGTGACTTACATCTGTCCAGGGACTACAGATGAAAAATAGCTTCTTGGCTAACTCTTTACAGAATTATTCTGTGCACTGTCCCTTTTAAATAAATAAAAGATTATGAGTATACATGTAGTTTTAGTATTTGAGATTTCACGAATATAAAAGAATGATTACTGAGAGTAATGGGCAAATCATCCAGTTCGTCGTTTAAAATCAATATTTTGCTGAAAAAAAGGTTTTACGATGCCTTATGACAAAATGTACAGCTTTCAATAGTCCGGAAGAGAGACCAAAAAGAGAATATAAAATATGTTTGTGAAGGAGCTTTTCTCATTAATTATGTCTGAACTAAATAAGAGTAAACTTCCACATGTCATGCACATAAATTTTTACTTTTTTATTGTACAATATTACAATTACATTTGTACAAATGTTAACAATGAAAAAAAAAAAAGTCAATTCAGGCTACAAGAGGAAATGTTTGCTGGGGCCTGAAAACAACAATGTCCTTGAAAGCTGCACTGAACTTGAATGCAGCTGCTGCTCGGAGGCGGGCCATATACAAAAACACAGACATGGCTTCCTCACCTTCACCCCATCAGTTATTTAAAACACAGGAGGGGGCAGAAGCAAGGTGGATACCAACATCAGTGCAGATGAAAATCATGTACTGAATTAAAAAAAAGTTTGTGTGTCTGCGTGTGTTGTAGTGCAGAAGGGAAGCGGGGGGGGTTGTTGTTCATTTGGTCCAGGTCCAATGTGTTAAGAAGCCGAGGCGCAGGGTCAGAGGTCGTCAGGCAGAGTTTAAGAGCGGGTGTACTTTCCCCAGATGTGCAGCATGAAGACGGAGGCGATGAAGAGCAGACTCATCACCAGCACGGGCACCGGGCCGCTGTCACAACAAAGAGAGAATGATAAACACACAAACACACAGAAATCCCATAATTTGCTCTAAGCCCGACCACACATGAGTCTTAGTAGAGCGGCTGATTTTATTGATGAGCTTAGGAAACAAGGAGGCGCCCTCATCTCTGAAGGAGGGACTGAGTGGGGGTGTGGGGTGGAGGGGCGCATCACTAAGTAGCAGCATTGCCATGCCAACCATCTCCTCTGCGGCCCCCTCCTCTCCCTGTCAGAAGGCTGTAATTGAGTTGACCTTTCAGAGTGCATCCTTTAATGAAGCTTTGAGGCCGGCGTCTAACGCAGGAACAAACACGCACTCGATATAAAGCACTGTATGGCGAGTCTGCCCTCCTTCGACTGCTGGAGAGACACTCAATAACCACCACGGCACCATCGATCAGCCATTGCCAGGAGACTGGACGCCTCCTCTAATATTAAGGCAGCAGATGCAGCAGAATAGAACTTTATGGAGGTTGAGAGTTTTCCAAGTGTGCTTTGCTAACACTCGTAATTTTTTATGAGTATATAAAGACACAGACTTAAATGAAGCTGATCCACCACTTAGAGATGATTTGTTTTACCACAGAGGCACGTCTACCCAATTTCCTGTCATTAAACATTCCTCGCATCCTACCTGATGAACATGTACACCACTAATCATAGCAAGTGTTGGAAATCCTGAGTATTAAGTGCGTGTTTGTGAGTGGGATGTAGAAATGTCAAGAGGCTAAATTGGTTACAGTGTGTATGTTCCTGTGTTTTGCTTTTAGAAATGACACTTACACTTTGAGGCCTGGCGAGTCTTCTGTGTAGAAGCGCCACATGCCACCGGTGCCCGCCGATCCTGTGGTCCTGCCACCGCTGCGTGTGCCACTGCTGGTGGCTTTCCTGTGGGACACACACATAATTCAAAGTCAAAAACATATCGACACAGCCAAGTGTTTGAATGACTTAACAGAGCTCAATATAAAAGGGCATAATAACCCGATCTTAAACGCTTCCAAGTTTCTCTCTGTAAAAGGTCTTTCATAAATATAAAATGTGATGTCTCAAAGAACTTTATTTTAAAACAAGACAACTAGAACAGAAACACACTTTTGAGTGCCGGGTAGAAAAGGGGAGGGGGTATAACATGAAACAAAGGCACAAAGGTCACATGGCTGGAATCGAACCCAGGACATTGTATTCACAATGGAACCAACTACAGTAGCTGCTGATGAAAGAGCAGGTTGATTCATGGCTGCTTCACTCATGTGACGAGATTAAACGGAGGTTAATGAGGTAATGAAGACGACGATAGTAATGGGTAGAGGTAAGAGCCAGCCTCTGATTAAACACTGATTAAGCCCACAGCACAGCATCTATCGCTCATATAAACAGGGAGCACAACAAATAAAGTGACGGCTATCTGAAATTCATCAATAAGTCTTTACTGTGTGATGACATGAGCAGGCGCGGTCAATGCTGAGGGTATTTGAAAAATAATTTTAGAGAATGTGTGCAGGATAAAGAGGCTGGATAACTTATTTCTCAGGTTTAATGTAAAGTTGTCTTCAATGGCCACTTTTTCACATTGGTGTCCAACATACAGATATTTGACCAATAGAGAATAAATATAAAAGTGTCTTGTGCATGAGGACAAAAAGGTCACCACAGCATCCTCAACGCTGCTAGGCAGTCATTCTCAAAGTGTCTCACTCTACTGGTGGGATTACTTCAATCCTATAAGATAGTCTTCAATGTGGTGTTTTGAGCTGACCCCTCTTAGTCTCTTGGTGTTGATCAATTTAGCATCTTGATTATTGAGTTGATTATTTTTTATAGCTTTTTTTTAGTAAATTATTTCCAGAAAACCTATAAATAATTCTGAATTGATGAATTGAAGCATTGCTTTGATTCTTTGAGGGGAAAATGTGTTGATTAAATCAGTTAAATCGATTATTTGATCAATTGTAGTATAAGTCGACTATATTCTCTTTAGTCTTGAACGGCCGTAGTATTGATGATGATAATAATGATGATGGTGGTGGGGATGATGATGATGGGGAAAATTGTCCAAAAAGCCTGACTAAAATGTCCAACAGTTATTCATATGGGATAACATCTGTTGATTGGAATGACTCATGATTCAGTGAGCCCAAACTTCTACATATAATCTTTATTAATTAGGTTACTGCATCAGTTTAGTCACGTCTACCTCACATCTGTATACACGTGTGCAGAGTTTTCTCACTTGTTACCTGGATGAAGAGTAAAAGTTCTGTATATTGTGTGTACCTTTGCCTGACTGTGGATCCTGCTGCGCGAGGGGCCACAGTCTTACTGGGGGAGCGGCTCGAGGCCCCAACATTGGTTGCACTTGCTGCTGGTCCAGGCTGAGGGGAAGACACCAGAATTAATACATATTACATTACATGTTACTTGTTGGAAATATATGAACAGTATCCCCTCCATTATATCCTCTTCCATGCATTCTGTCTACTCTCTGTCACATACATTTAAAAATATTTACAGCTAAAACATAATAATCCATAACCTTCAGATAAGGAGTTATCAAACAATAAAATATGAAAAGCTCAGTCAAATTTGATTATTAACTGTACAGTGCGTTTATGTCAGAGTGATGGCGAAGGCCTTTAACTACAAGTCCGCACCTTTCATTGAGTTCAACTTCTACTGATCACATGCAGAGTTTCAACTAAATGTGCGTACTAGCGTATATAAATCATTCATCTAGTCCATTGCCAGCTTTACATATTGTGGGACTGTTTAACTGGTTGAAAGAGAGCCACGTCCACAAATGATTAGCTAACATTAATAAGCTAGCTAACAGATAGCAAATCCATAGATTGGGGCTTACGTTAAAACAGTAAATGTGAGCGTGTTTGCTTTACCAGTAACATTTGTAGATGGAGTCGAGTATCTTACCATTTTGTTGTTTGTGTTGTTGTCCCGATGCAAGTTAAAAAGCCAGAGCCTTCTTCAAGATGATATCCACGTCAAATGAATAGCAGACAGCAGGCGTGTGAATTGGTCAAAACTTGAGAAGATCCCACAGAGCTGACGTCTATCTAAAAAGGACACGACTGCAAAACACAAGACCAGTGCAGGTGACCGAGCAGATGCCCGACTGTCGGATCCCGTTCACACAATAACATAATGAACTCAACCTTAGTTTTAGAGCTTGTTTTCTTTGCCACTTAAATTCAACTTGTTTTCAACGCCTATACGTGTTTTAGTGTTTTTGTTTTTGTGTATTCTTGTACCTTAATTCAAAGGCACATTTTGGTCAGCCTTGATTTTGAAGGAGACGTGTCTCACAGGAAGCGCCTCCGTTTACATGACTAGAGGAAACTAGCGCCATTGTGGCTCAAACACGAAGCGCAACTAGCATGACCACAACACATAATTTGAGCCAACATGGCGTCCTAACGTTAGAGTTTCCTGACAGTTGTACATGCTGATACTGGCTTCGAGACAAGCATAATCACAGGTTTCAAAACTCGGACAAGATCCAAAGGTAAATATAACTCAACCATTATTAGATTGTACGGAGATGTAGTTTTGTTCACGAAAGACAACTGCCCATAAAGTTAGCTTTCTGAACGATTATTTCATTAGCTACATAGGCTAGCATGCATAATATTTTCAACGTTACGTAAAACATACACAAGACATTCAGAATAACTTTTTTTATAACGAACAGTTACCATACTACATTTCATAACATTTCAATAGTCATTTATATTCTTGCTATCAGTCTGACTTATCCTTAAACGTAAAATCAGCTGGAGGTTTTCCTCCATGACAGAAACAATTTGCTGCTAAAAAGTCCTGACAGTAAGGGCTTCAAGGGTTAAGAGTTTTGAATTCTGGTTACTTGTGTTGGAGAGAGTTGTTTGTTTAAACCATCATCAAAAACAATTGAAATTCATTTTCTCTGTTACTCAGATTTAGGCTGTAATTCCCATAAATGTTTATTGTGTCATGTCATGCATATACACTTTATACTTCTTCTGTCTTTGTGAATATTCAAACTGTCTACTGTCTCACTGTGCTCCTCCCTTTATCTGTCCTTCTGCATGACACGGTGATGTACAATGTGTTTAACTTTAACCCTCTCTGCAACAAGCATTGTCTTGTGGTAACATTTATACCGGATTCAATTGTAACTTTATACATTTGTGTGCAGGATGGCAAGGGTGGTGTTCCTCCATCCAGACCTGGGTATTGGTGGAGCTGAGCGTCTGGTGGTCGATGCTGCTGTTGCTCTGAAGTCTAAAGGATGCAGCGTTCAGATATGGACGGCCCATTACGACCCAACCCACTGCTTCTCTGAGACGCTGGATCCAGATCTCCCTGTGGTACGTAAACTCACACCTTCCTACCTGATACTGTTGCTCAAAGATCCACAACAAAGACAAAGAATAGTAAACTCTAAAGACACTCGCATAATACTTAATTGTTTCTATTGCTCTTCTTATAGGTATGTGTGGGGGATTGGCTACCCACAAATGTGTTTGGTTACCTGCATGCCCTGTGTGCCTACCTGAGGATGATCTTCGTCGCCCTCTACCTGGTCTTCCTCAGCGGGGTGGAGTACGATGTCATCTTCTGTGATCAAGTGAGTTGTGTCATACAGGAACAACGTATCCCTCTGTCTGGTCACTCATTGTAGTTCCCCTGAGCTTTCAGCAGCTCCTAACTGTCTCTTTTGCTCAGATAATTTGTTCCATTGCAAACAGTGGACTGCCTCTATTGCCCCTTTCACACCAACGCGGTTCCCGTTCTAGCTCTGTGCTTGCGCTCTTCTGGTTCGGAACCGGTGTCTCCTTTTTGTGACACACCTCTTTACTATACCGTAAGGTGTACACTCCCTTGCCTGTTCCACTTTCCACTGTGTTTCGCACAAATACGCACAGGTATCAACTTTCTCTTGTAAATAATTACAAAGGGTTTCCATGGTTGCTAGAAATCCTTGAACACTTTAGATTTTTGAAAAGTGCTTTGGTTTTGAATGAAGAGCCTGAGACTGCATGAACATATTTAGGCTACATCATGCCAAGTCTAACAAACAGATGACACTTTTTGAAACATAAAACTTGTGTTTTCCTCAATTTTTCCACCCTTTTGTTGAATGCAGAAATGTAATTGTCTTTAGCACAATATGAACTTAATTGTTGTGATGAAAAAGTGCAATCATCCTAGACTGTATGAACTGTATGTACTGTATACAAAAATGTATTTTACCGCTGTAAACGGCAGAAAAAGCTTGAACATGCACCTTTTTTAAATGCTTGAAAATGGCTTGAATTGACTTTGGAAAGCGTGCAGGTACCAGTACAGAAATAACTCAATATTAAGCAAGGTACAGGGTGACAGTAGGAGAAGCCAATCAAACAGCAGTTTATTTAAACGTCACATATAGCTTGACCAGTACTTCTCTTCGGATGTGTGTTTACTGATACATTTCTGATCATACACCTTTCATTCTACACCAGGTGTCAGTGTGTATCCCGGTGCTGCGACTGTCCCGTCACAGGAAGAAGGTTTTGTTTTACTGTCACTTCCCAGACCAGCTGCTGACCCAGAGGAAGTCGGCCCTGAAGAAGCTGTACCGTGCTCCCATCGACTGGATGGAGGAGCGCACCACTGGCATGGCTGATATGGTACGGCTCAGGGTTTAAGGCTGTGTCATTGTGATGGCCTTTCTACTAAGAGGGCTAGACTGAGTCACAGTTACAATCTGATTTTATCCAGAACAAGAATGTCATTTATATAGTTTTTTATTAAATAAATGTTTTACAAACTTTTACACAGTAGAAAACCTACATGTATTATATCAAGATTAAAAACAAAATAGTTGCTATTCATTCTCAAAAGATGCTCCTGATGCGACCTAAGTGTTTGAAGGACACTTGATAGTAAATGCTGTGTGGTCTTATGGGTAGATTTGAGACAGGAGCTAAAACTATCCTAAATAATTTTTATAACTAATTGGATGACACAGTTTAGTTTTTCAATGTTATTTTAAATCCTTGTTTTGCCTAATGCAGACAGGAACATGATTTTCTAAGCAGTAACACGATTAATACAATTAAATGTTGTGAAATTAGTTTATTCTGATGCTCAAAGGTGGTTTAAAAGCACTATATAGACAATGGTACATTTTATATACTTACAGATCATTCATAAAATGTATCAATACTAGAACAGTGCAATAAAAAATGAAAAATGTTAATAGCCCAGTAGTTGAACTTTGGCAAGTTTGCTCATAATTATATCTATCTAAGTCTAATGTTGTTTAGAGAGGTGTAATTTCTCTTCCAGACTGAGGTTGGCTCTTAATAACTGCTTAAACTGTAATGTAAAGGAATAAATCAAAAATACAAGGTAAGTTTTATTGGTTTTAAGAGATTGAAAAAACCAAAGCGAATATTTAAAATGTGCTACAGCCTGATCTCTGCTGGCAAGCTGAAGTAAAAGCTCAGGGCCCTGATAGAAAATAAATTGACATTTAGGTTTCAAACTAGACGTTAATAATAAAAGTCTGCAGGCTGTCATACACTTACTCAGAAGGAATTAAAATGCCTGTGTTATATGTGAGATCCTTATGAACTAATCTCTCTGTACTTCCTCTTAGATTCTGGTAAACAGCAAGTTCACCGCAGGCATCTTCAGCGAGACCTTTAGTGGTCTGAGAGGAGTTCAGACGGATGTCCTCTATCCCTCCCTCAACACAAGTACCTTTGACCAGCAGTCCACTGAAGCACGAGGCCTGGAAGGGCTTCTTCCCGAGGGGACCTCCTGCATGTTTCTCTCTCTGAACCGATACGAGAGGAAGAAGAATCTGGGGCTGGCTCTGGAGGCTCTCTCCGCCCTGAGGAGCCTCCTTCCTGCAGGCCAGAGAGCGGGTGTTCACCTGGTGGTGGCTGGGGGCTACGATGACAGAGTTACTGAGAATGTTCAACATTATACTGAACTGAAAGAGCTGGCAGCGCAGCTCCACCTGGAGGACTGTGTCACTTTCCTGCGCTCCCCTTCTGATTCAATGAAGGTGGCACTGTTACGGGGCAGCGCAGCCGTGCTCTACACCCCGAGCAGAGAGCATTTTGGGATTGTTCCTGTAGAGGCCATGTACTGCTGTTGCCCTGTTATCGCGGTAAACTCTGGGGGCCCCCTGGAGAGCGTGGCAGACGGGGAGACAGGCTTCCTGTGTGAGCCCCTGGCCGAGGCCTTCTCTAAGGCCATGGAGAAGCTGGTGAGAGGGCTTCAGCTCCGCAGGGACATGGGACACGCCGGGAGGAGGAGGGTACAGGAGAAGTTCTCTCTTCAGGCCTTCTCAGACCAGCTGTATGGGTACATTGTCAAGCTGAGCCAGTGATGGTAACGCAGAAGACAGGTTAAACAAACGATCCTAAACTGAACTGTGAATTGTCTGTGGTTCACTGGGGTCTGCAGTGAGGTGAAATGAACATCTTCTAATAGAGGATGTGTGTAGATGTGCAGGGAGGTGGGAGTATTATCAGGACTCAGAGGAAAATCAATCAGCATTCCCCTGGAGGGGTTGCTGAGAGGAAAAAAAGGGCGGAATCTCTATACCAATTAAGACAAGAATAACGAGTTTACCTATATCTCTGGAAGAATACCACACCTGCAAGTGTGTATGCGAGTGTGTGTGTGATATTGTACATGTGTAGCAGCGACAGAACCAAGAGCCTAGCAAATGAGCATACCAAAAGGATTGATTGCTAGACAGAAATGTTTTGTACTGTGTATGTTTTTTTCCCCCTTGCTTTGATACAGTAATCTTTGTCTTTGTCTGTTTGGGTGATGAAGAAAAAGAATGTAGTTACCACCCTGTGCCATCAGGCAGTGCACAGCCCCAGATCGATAAACGGGATGCTTTCCTCCACTTCCTGTCCGCCCAGAGCTTTGTTCAACTCCTCGCATTCAGAAAACGCTGGCCTGTTCTGACTCTGGCTGCTGTGTGGAAGTTATTAGTGGATGATAGAGAGTGTTTGGCTTTATTAGAGGTCTAGTTGATGGGCAGTGGGACTTTGTCTGGGTCATTATCAACGAGGAGAATAGCAGAAGGTCATTGTGTCTCCAGCTGGCCTCTTCAGCCCTCCTACTGTATAGAAAAGCTTGTATTGACATTCCTGAAGTCTTAATAAACAAGAGGACACATACTTTCCTGACTCTTATGGGCTTTGCTTTGTTGCCAAGTTTGTTTGGCCTTTAATAGACTTTGCTAGGAACAGAAATGTTAAGGTTTTTTTCTCCTTTCGTTGAACACATTTGATTGTTCTTTGTTGGTAAATGAAACATTCTCAGACAATGAATCAGCTAAGGAGTTTTATTTTCGCTCATTAACAAAGTCAATTTGATAGATGTACATGGGAGGCGCCGCAGAACATCTTAAGTTTCTGTCTCCGTCCGTTGCTGCATTATCATGTTCAGAGTTTGAGACGTGTCCCCTTGTCCTCTTGTTCTTAAAGGGAGTTCCCAGCGGCACTTTGATCTCTGTAATGCGCTGAGTGCAGATCCTGGTCTTCCTCAGAACACGGTCACCTTTGACTTTGGAACCATTTGTTGAAGGAGGCTGCGGCAGGCTCTCTGTGTCATGTTCTCATCTTACAATAACCAAGAAATACAGTGAAATAAAGGACATTTCAGTACAATAAATCTGGTTGATTTTAAATGTCTGAGTGACACTTTTTAAATTCTACAAATGCAGTGTGATTATTTTAAATTAAGTCCCATTTCATTTTCTTACCTCCCACTCCAAAATGGAAAACACAGCCATCTCCAACATAAACGCCCCAAAGACACAGTCCTCACCATGGATTTGAAAACTCAATCAAGTCTCCAATCTCTGCTGTGGACACGCTCTGTTCAACCTAAAGGTAAAAAGGCTGAGTCAGAGCAGTGTACAGAATCCAAACATCGTTTTTCCTTGCAGAATTTAAATGAAGAAATGGTTTTCCATGATGGAAACCAGGGGAAAAAACCAACAACTATGGACATAAAATCTAACTATTCAGCACTTTTAAGAGAGCAACCATAAAATATAAGGGACATTTAAAATGGAAACTATACATAAAACAAGGCCTTTTTCAGCAGTATTTGAATGAGAATCACACTAATTAAACTTCAGATAAGTGCTATCAGAGTTTCCTTAGCTGTTGTCACCAACATACTTTCATTTTGTATACCACCTTTTTAAATTGGGTGGCAGACATAGAGATGGATATACCTTGAAAGTACTGTATCAAGTCAAATGGTAATATAATAAATACAAAATAATTCTCACCTATCGCCATGTCATTTGGGAAAAAAGGCTGTTCCAGTTTGCCATAGGGTCCATGGTTGCTGTGAGCTCAACAGACGGACTGAAGTGTATTTTCTCATTAATGGGACGCTGTGATGTTGTGTAATAATTTATAAAACACCTTCAATAGCCGCCGTTAGCCTTGACTGCGACACTTTCAAAATGATAGGCAGTCTAATATGTTGCCCATTCATCTAATATGTGCTCTTTTGTTCTATGGTTCAGGCTACCACTGTGAATCAGTTGATGTAAATATTATATAATTATTCAGATATTTGCTAAAGTTTGTTTAAAATGTGTGGTTAACCTGCATTGAGTTTTCAATTCCCACTTCTCGTATTGATTCAGACATTTCTTCAGTCAATTTCAAAATCTGAAATGCAGAAAAACCAAACAGCGCTGCTGCTTGTTTTCAGAACTGAAAGCGATTTGTCCCTATAGATCCAATTAGTGCAGGTGGTTTGATTTGAAATAAATACTAAGGTCTAGCCTCAGTATACCTCAGTGATGCACCTCAGTCAATGTATAATAGTGATCCTGATATAGTTGGTGTGTGCTGAATGTATGCCTGTATATATATTTTTTTGAGGTGTTGGTTATATAGGCTATTAAATGTCCGATTCATATGTTCATGACATTAATTGTTGATATTCTTTCACATAAAAATAAGATTCAAAATGTAGTGTTAGGAATCTGCTCGTGAGCTCATGTAGAGCCAAGCGACAACACTCATGACCACACCATAAGGCATACAAATGTGATTAAAACATTTATTACATTATTATTTTTCTTAAATATAGCTTTATATGAAATAGAGAAAGTGTGCCAAAATAATTTTTCCTTATGACCCAATCCACATCGTTGTTGTCTTAAACAAAATAACCCAATATATACGTACATAATCTTCATACAGTATATAATCATAAATATAACTGAGCTTTTCAAACCCTTTATGAAACATTGATGTGTTTATAAAAAGGAGAGAAAAGGGGATTTCCTGAGCGCACAATGTAGATATAAAACATATTTTTAACCTTTTCTTTAGTAAAAAAAATATATATTTAAAGCAAAAGCAGCAAGGTATGTGTGTGTATTTGTAGTTTACTGTTGTGTTTCCACATGCAGATGTATTGAGAGTAGATGATGCGGAGGGCATTGCTGCAGTGATTTAGGGGCCCTGCTGGAGCAGATGATAGAAAGGCCCCGTGGAGATACACAGACTCCTTTAAATGGGTCCCACTTTGCTGCGTACACAGAAAGATGGTGTCTGAAGTCTCATTTCGATCTCTTCCATTTTTTTCTCAGTCATATCAAAAAAAGAAATGTCTTTACCTTTAAGTTGTGGAAGAACCCCCCCCCCCCCCCTACTTCAGTGCCCCGTGGTGGGGTGGTTATTGAGATCACGGTGTGTCTGAGTGGCAGCGATAACCGGTACCCAGGTGCCACTGGCACATGGTGTTTAATTAATTAATGAGACCGCAGGGTTGGTTTTTCTAATTCCAGCTAGCCAGCACCGGGGTGTGGGGGAGATAGCGGCAAAATGTTTAGGTGTGTGTTTTGAGGCGAGGAAGGGGAGATGTATGTGGAAGTGTGTGCGGGTTAGGAGTGTATATCTATTCTGTTGGCAGTTTGGGAGCTGGTTTCCTTGTTAGTGAAATATTAAATATGTATGGAATATTTTTACTCTGACTTTTATTCATGCCATAGGATTGGGAGTTAATCATGGGCTAAATGCAGCTGATGGAGAGAGAAACTCATCACTCTAAACCTCCAGCATACAACCGGGTCATGGGCTCATTGCCCTAAAACATACAGATGTACTTGAAATGTAAACATAATGCAACAAGAGGTGGCGTTCAGGGCAGTGTATGTTATGTCTTACGCATATTTAAATGTAATGTTTTGGATGAATGTAGGGTTAGGATTGGTATAATTAAACAAAAAGTTAGTATGGATCTCTTACACTTTACCTCAAAACGTCTATTCCAAAAATATAATGAGTTATTTAAGGTAAGATGGCGCCTGCCCATTAAGGGCTTTGTAGGCGAGAAGAAGAATTTTAAATACTATCCTGTGTTCTATAGGGAGCCAGTGTAAGGCAGCCAGAACAGGAGTAATGTGGTCCCTTTTCCTAACTCTGGTTAGTACACGAGCTGCAGCATTTTGAATCAGCTGAAGCGACTTGAGTGACTTCTTGGTACACCCTGATAATAAAGAGTTACAATAATCCAGCCTTGAAGTAACAAATGCATGGACTAGTTTCTCTGCATCGTTTTGAGGCAAGATATGCCTGATATTTGCAATGTTACGTAGATGGAAGTAGGCGGTCCTTGAAATTGATTTTATGAGGGCGTTAAAGGATAAATCCTGATCAAATATAACACCAAGATTCCTTACAGTCTCACTGGAGGCCAAATTAATGCCATCCATAGTTAGTATATCTTTAGATAATTTGTTTCGTAGATTCTTCGGGCCAAGTACAATAACTTCAGTTTTGGTCGTGTTTAACATAAAAAAATGTAAGGTCATCCACGTTTTTAAGTCCTTGAGGCAGTCTTGAATTTTATTTAGATGATTAATATACAACTACATTTTATTCAGTGTTTTCCCTTTTCCTGCCATCACGAGGGTCTGTTTCTGTTATCTTTACGTAATACTCTATTACATTAATCAGCAAAGTAACTTTACAAAATACAAATATGCAGTTAGTATTACAGTTAGATGTATTATGATGTGCACCTGATGTGCTAAAGTGTGTATTTCCTCTCTAACAAAACCGTTATTTAATCCCAATTCATCAAACACAAACATGCAACAATGACTCTTCTCTTATTGATTGTTGACATCCTCGTGGATTCATCTTCTTATTTCAGACACATGCATTTCCTAACATTCGGTCTATATGCTGTAAAATGTATTATCTCTTTGATTTACACACGGCATCTATTGCACGTCTGTCCGTCCTGGGAGAGGGATCCCTCCTCTGTTGCTCTCCCTGAGGTTTCTCCCATTTTCCCTTTAAACTGTGGGTTTTCTCTGGAAGTTTTTCCTTGTACAATGTGAGGGTCTAAGGACAGAGGGTGTCGTATTGTCATACTGATATTCTGTACGAACTGTGAAGTCCACTGAGACAAATGTAACATTTGTGAAATTGGGCTAAATAAACATTGATTGATGGTTCTCTTTGATGCATTAAACATGTTTAAATCAGTGAATCTGGACCTACAGGGTTACACTCCTTGATATCCTGTGATGTGTGAAGATGCATTAGTGTACGCTTTCCTTCTCACTACAAATACTATCAAACGTTGCCAAGAAGACAGGAGGAGTTTTACTGTTGGAAGAATGCAGCGAGGAGCCTTCCTGATCATGAATGATAGAATATGCTTAAACAATAGAAAGTCTGCATTTGTATTCACAGCTCATCTTTAAGAGCTGTTTTACATGGTACATGTTAGCAAATTATGTATTTCACTCTTTACTGCTTCCATAAACTATTCAAATATATTAGCTTACACCTCATAAATGTTAACACTGCACAACTCTTACCCGCACTGGAATAACAGTATAAGGAGCTGATATCACAGAGGAAAGAAATGATTTACTAAAGCTACATAAAACTCTTCTCTCACAATAAAACGTCTATATTCTCTGATAGTGGAATATTAAAGATAGCCTCTATAAAAAATAGCTTTATGGCCCAGGAAAGAGAAGCATTACGACTTGTTCTGCACGTTGTAGTTTAAACCATCTTATAGCTTAAAGATAAACGAGTCCATAGATTTCATACATCACACGTCATCTAATTCACAGGAGGTTTATCCATAAAAATGTAAGGAGTCTTGTTTCAGATGTAAAGTTATGAGGAAATGTCCAGCAGCATTGATGGCGTGTAGTCAGATAAGGTACAACACAAGATTACGCTGAGAGAAAACAACTTGGCATTCACACACTGTTCTGACAAATATGTAACATATTAATAGTCATCATAGTTTCCACAAAGCATTGGTGTGTTTCTAATATTTATTGTTCAAGGAAACTGAGAGCATATGCATTTTGGGTATATTTTGATACTTAATGATCACCGAATGATTCTTGAATAGACATATTTCTTTCGACATTGGATTGTAATAGAAAAATTAATTATAATTTTTTTCCTTTACCTTTTTGCAAGCCGTTGTATTTTGATTTTTAAAAGTATGCAGTTTAATACACCATATGAGAAAAGTGCTCATCAGAAAAATGTTTTGTGCATTAGCGCCTTTTTTACTCTTTCTGTTTGTGTTTAAAATGTAATAGGCTACAATGTGGCCTAGGTTATATTCTAGGCTTGGTTTTATCATCAGTTAAAATC